GGGGGGGGGGGCGCAAAATTCTGCCTCGTCACAATATATAAGTAAATTGTTTAGTTAATTAATTATGGGGTGTACAACACGATTACCGTTTTTCAATAGTTTAAGAAATTCACTTAAAAATTTCTCATGTCACACTGCAACAGACACTGTCTCAGAAACTTGAAAATTTATCGTTTCGTTTTTCATTTGTAAGGCCATAAACACTCGGCTCGTTGGTCGTAGAATGAAGTGCTAACACGTGTGGTCATGAAAAGAAAGACCTCTCTTCGCAGGCCGATTCGTCAAGCTCGGTAAAATTTATTGAGTAAATAACTACCGAAGAAATATAAAAAACGGATGCTTTGTCAAATAACTTCCCATAAAAATAAGTTAAACGAGAAAAGACTACACAGTAAAAGAAATTTTGGCATTTAGTGTTGAATTGACATCGACTGCGGCCCTGGGAAGTCCACCTTTAATTTTTTATAGTCCGATAATTAATGTTGCAATGACAACATGATAACTTGAAATTTCATCAATATTGTAATTATAATACGTTGAGATATTGCTTCAGTCTTCTATGAATTGATTTTTATAAGTTTATGGTTTCAAAAATGAATCAACATAGAGAGAGATGTTGGAAGTAAACATAAACATAAGCAATGAGGTCATGTGGCAAAGGGGTAGGCGGAAAAAATATCCCCGGAAAAAATAGCCCACACACCGAAAACGTGTTAAAACCCACCCAATTTGATAGACCATAGGAAAATTAGAGTCCCTGAAAAAATAGACAACGAAAAAAATAATTAAATTGAGCGAGTTTTAACACGTTTTGAATGTGTGGGATATTTTTTCCCTGGGATATTTTTTCCGGGATTCGGCAAAGGGGATCCTTTGTCTTAGGATGGCGATTTCCTTTGGTCTCGTTGATCAATTTTTAGTCTGCTGAGGCAGGCCGTAGAGAACAGACATTTCTTCCTCGTGCCATTTTTAATAAAGTAGAATTACCGTATTTAATCCACTGTTTAAATTATTTATATATATATATAGGTAAAAAATATATAGGTAAAATATATATACCTAAAAGAGAAAATATTCGAAAAATATTCACTTATAATACCACAAGAGCTTCAAAATTATCGGGCATTTCGCGATCCATTCATTGCAAAGAAATTGTTCAAGAAAAAAAATTTTCCTGAAAAACTTGATGACTTTATTTGTTTGCAGCTAGCCTTGAGGGAAATACCACATAACTTGGACGCTTATGTGGTATTCAACACGGGGAATAATAATTAGTAAAAATTAGAAAAATATTTAGTAAAAATTACGGGACTTTTAGTTCGCTTACCGATTACGGAATCCACTCGAAACATTTAAATGCCGGTATCTGTTCGCCAAATTCACCTATCGGATTATGAGATTAAAAATACTGAACACTTCGATTTGTATTTTCACCGATATAATTTATTCTTTAGGAGTAATTTCTGATTCTACTTTAGCCAAGAGGTACGACTGTAACTCTAACTCTAAGGATACTCAAGAGAGACCAATCCCAAAGTCAATTACTTGAGCTTTATTTTAGAACTCTTGGGATTACGATATTTCCACCCTCGAAAGAGCTTTTTTCATCTCCCTTAACAACTTCTGGTCGCCAAATGCTACTTAGGGATGGCCAGCAATAAGCATAAGTTGGTCCGTAAAATACAGGACTCGATGCTTTTCCTTTTTCCTACTCCCCAGTCCTAGTGCAATAAAACCATAGATATCCTTCCAGAGACGAAAATATAAAGACTAGGGAAAAAAAGGGAGAATTTCACAAAAATTCCGAGCAATCCAATATTGCCCTATCGACTCCTCAAAAAGTACTAAATCAACATCCTTAACGGTAGCAGCAGTTACCATTATTTATGATCCATAATAGAGCCAGCATTCGCTCGACATAACTCAATAGCTGTTAATTATTGTTTTCAGGGTCAGTCGACGGTCTCCACGTTCCACCTGCGATGATGTATTGATGCAATATTCACCGCAGAAGACACAGAATTATTTCAACTAGAAAAATAGGGGAAAAAACCACGAGTGAAGTTGGAATCATGAATTATCCCTAGCATAAATTTTGGAGGGATGAAATGAGCGTTATGACAAGACGGAATTGGGCCTTGAGGCTCTCGATAATCCTCAATGTCTGTGTTTTATTGTATGTCTGCGTGCATTTTGGTTCCTGGCAGGAGGATGGAACCAACTGGGACACAGCTGCTGCCGTTCCACTGGTCCAGGATAATATATTGGGGAGTGAGAGTATTCAGATAAATTCCAGTCTCAAAACAGCTCAAGAGGCAAGAGCCACCAAAGTCACCGGGTCGGAGGAGAAAAAACATGTCGATACTTCAACAACTGGATCTGCTGGTGGTACAAAAGGGGTCGATGCTACGAAATTTGTCGGGAAGGATGAGCATGGACTTGAGGGACAAGAGGTACATTTTCAATATCGTTTCTTTGTGTTTCATAATTTTATGAGACTGGATGAAAAACAACCTAGAGTCTATTTCATTTTGTCATAAATTTCCATACAATATGTGAACGTTCTCAGGGAAAAGAACTGATTTACAAACAAAAGCAAAACTACACCAGCTTGTCGTTTTGTGGTGAAACATTGAACTTTATGAATTTTTAAGGGTCTATCGCGTACATTGATAAAGGCAAATAGATAATTTGGATTACTTGGTATTCAATGATTTGGAATATTCAAAGAAGCAATACACATTTTTGAAAACGAAAAAATTCGAGTTCAGGAAACAGTCCGTCATTTTCTAATTCTGGGCAATACGCAAATTATCAGAAATACAAATTCAAATTCTCTAACCCACCGACGTCCGTCGCCTAGGGTTTTTTCCAAATTCTTATAATTTTCCCTATTCATCTACTTTTCTGCAGCCATCCCCAACTATAATTAATCATCACTTCACATTAAGCTTCATTATATTAGGTAAAGAGCCACGGGCTGTAGATCTGGCTATTGAGTATTACTACTTGTACATACACTGTATATATGTATATGATAATAAATTCTCTAAATGAAATGACAAATTACGTCAGTGGCTCAGTGGCTAGGTGCGAGTTTAGCATTCAGAAAATTGTGAATTTGATTCCCCGTTGAATCGAATTTTTCAACAGGCGCCGATGACCAAGAGGTTGCTAATAGAGCAACCGCCTGTACCGACATGGTTTTTCCTGTGGTTTCCCATGTCACTCCTACATTCTATAAGATAGTGAATACGGTACAGTGTAGGATCCACAGCTGCATGCATAGGGTGAGACAGGACCAATTAGAACAGGGCAGAAAGGGCGGGAATATAAAAAAAAAAATTCTCTAACAAATTGTCATTTTTCTTTGACTTCGATTGTTCCATAAAAATGAATTATAAACATATAATTATAAACAACAATATAACAATATTATTCCTAAAGACAAATCAACAGTAAATAATTTAAAATTCAGTATAGCTTCTCTTTTTAGGTCAGATAATTCAGCTCAATCATGTTTCGTGTTCAAAATCCAATAGTTTCATAAAAAAAATTTCTTCAGAAAAACAAGTGCTTTTTGTTGGATTCCGTTTATTTAATGAAGAAGTGATTCATTAAATATTATACACTGTAGTTTATATTTTCCATGTATTCAAATCTCTTTTATTTGAATTCCAAGTAGAACAAAAGATATAAGTACCTCGAACTCTCTTGTGAAGTGGTAAATCAGGGACTGCCTTTTTCCGAGGCCAGTTTTTAGCAAGAATTTCAGAATTGAAGGAATATAACGAAGAAATAATGCTCCGGAAGTTTGATGTAAAAAACGATAATTTGCTGATCGATTGTGAAAAGTCATCGAGTTTTTCCATCTGGAAAGGCATCTGGATAAAAATTATTTCAATTGTCTCTCGTGGATTCAACGATACTCATCGAGAAATCAATTCATGCCATTAAACGAGAATTTTTCCAATTAGTCGAACGTATTCTAGGAGTGAGTGATATTATAGGCAGAATTGTGAAGTGAACTTCTGACAGAAGTCTAAGTTCTTGTTGAAAATTTTCCCTGATGATTCCGTTATTAATAGAATAGTAAAATGGGGAATCGTTAAGTACGAAATAATGGCACAAAATTGTTTATTATAAATGTCAATTTTTCTGGAAAAATGAAATAAATTAATAATTTCTCTTGCCGTTGCTCATTACAAAATTAATTCGTTAGCTAACAGTCTTAATACTTGTTAATTTCACAATTCGTCATAAATTTTCGAGAGTCATTCAGATCAATTGAGTAATTTTGTTCTCAAATATTCAATTCGAAAAAAATTGTACTTAGAATATAATTGAAAACATAAGATGATCAAATTTTATTCTTCCATAGGATCATAAGATTCGAGTTTTAATCGGTCATAAAATGATGAACCGATTCGGTTAATTTTATCATAAAAATTGATGTCATTATAACTATTTTACTGCCATTGGGCTTTCCTACGGAAGAGCTTTCAGATATTTTCCGAAAACGTCTTATTACTGAAAGAGGTCAGAACCTATCAATCAATCAACTTCGATCCAATCAGAATTTTAATCACCTTTCAACCCGTCAATAAATTTTGAAAGCTCTTCCCTAAGAACTCCAACATCCTCCAAAGGAATTTCTCTCTAAATTTTCTCCCTTTACCTTTCCATATTTAAAAAAAAAAAACATCCCATTTCGTTTAATGAAATTTCTTTATCTGAAAAACTTCAAGGCCTGCATGCACTACCTATCGAGCATAATCTTGAATTATTTGATATTATTTATAATCCCCAAATATTTATAAATTTGGTTTTCAAATGGTGTTTGCAGAAAACCCTCCAGTGGTTAATGAAAAAAAAGAAAAAATTGTTGAAGAGTGGTAGACAGAGATATTGATCCCAAGGGATCTGCCAAATTCACAGGAAAATAACTGAGACTACATTTGGCAGTCCATTTTTATTCCATATAATGGACTGTCAAATGTACTCGCTCTCCCCATCATGGTGGCTCGTAAACTGCGTATTTTCCATTTATTATTTTCCTGTAAACTTGGCAGACCCCTTGAAATCAATATCTCGATCTGCCACCCTCCCACACGGTTTCCATTATTTTATCATAATTTTTTAATAACCACTGGAGTAATTTTCACAACACAATATGGACCCCAAATTTATCAACACTAGCGTATATGGCGCGCTATGCGCGCCAAATCGTCCACGTATGGGGTGTTATCATTGGAATATATATATTTATATTCACGGTTATTTCCAATATAATATATACATATATAGAATTTCAAAAAGAAGAAAGAAAAAAGTCTAAAAATTTATATATTATATTATATAAATTTAGTATAATATAATATATAAATAAAAATATTAAATATTATTATATAAAAAAAATTAATATATATATATAATTATATATATTATATATTATATATATATCATATTATATAGATATATTTTGATATGCATAGCGCCAAAAAAAGGTGACAAAAAACGTTACATGCTTTTTTTTAAAAGGGACTAGTCTAGCCCGACAAAATTCAGACCAAAAATGACGTTCGATGGACAGTACACGTGGGCCTTGAAATAAAAATTTCTCTAAAGTCTTCTGAATCATTCCAGATGTATTCTTCATGAAAACCCGGAAGAGTGAAATACCTGGAACATCCTCTGGCCATTTTCCGCCTCCTCTCCTTCTCCCGGACTATTTCCAGAGGTGTCAGTAATTTTTCCTGTCACATAAAAGCCACCCAAAGTCTCATGAAACTTATTTATCCTTACTTCATGTTATAAAATGCTGATAAACATAAATATTTCAGAGTCGACCACTGGTACAACCTTCGATAAGCCTGAAAGACGCGGTGGGATGCAATGATAAGAGCCTCGAGCCTCGAAAAGCCCAACGTGGTGACTACTGGGTGCTTTATAATTACGTACCAATGACGATGTCAGTGAGTTGCTGGGAAACGATAACATATACGACACACGGGGATTACACCTTTCTGGACAATCTTGAACCACTTTTGGAGCGATGGAAGGCACCGGTATCGATTGCAATGCATGCACCGGGTAATGACTTTCAGCCGACCCTCGACTCAATCAAATACTTGAGAAACTGCGGTAGTCCACTTGTCTCTCAACTCGTAACCTTTCACCTGTACTTCAGCAGCAAACACGTGCCTAAAGTGGTTCGTATCGACACTCTTATGTCCATCAACCTCCAACGATCATTCTTCATGTTAATCTGGAACTTATTTTACCGTCATACTCACAAAAAAATATTTCTTCATCAAATTTACTCATTAACTACTTGCTAATTTACTTGACGTTACCAAGTCTTATGAAGCATTCACACACATTTTGTCAACACCATTAAATATCGCTTCAGTTCAGAGAAAAGCACGTACTTACAATTTTTCGGATACTATTTTTTTTTTGTGCAAAATGTCGTATAAACAGTCCGAGGAAATATTATCTCCATGCTTTAGACGATTTTGAGTCGTATGAGATCAACTTTTGGAGACCGTTTTTTTATTTATGAATAAATAAATACGATTCCACCTAATAGCTACAAAATAATATTTTTATTTAGTGGATACTCATACTTTAAATTGTTTAAATACTCAAAGTCTAAATGTCGGGCAGGTGTGATTCAACTGATTCCGGAATCAAGTACTAAATAATCTCGAGGAATTCGTCCCTTTGTTTCTTTCCAGTCGAAATTATGACGGGATTGATGATCCATTTGGAAAAATGGAAGACTTCGAATTTTGTCGAGGCACGAGTGCATTATTTTCACAACTTTTTTGCGTAAATTTCGAAAACGTTTGAAAACACTTTCGAAAAGATAAACGAAATTGTCTTTATACGCCTTTTCCCTCGATTCAAACGATATATTTGCTAAAATAATTTTTTTTCTCACTGCACTGTGGAACTATAACGAATATAATTGTAAAGGTAATAACGGATTATGTAAGACAGTAAGAAAAACTTTTTTCGTTTGAAATTGTTTCGACTGCGGTTGGACATTCGTAGAGCACTTTTTGTTGATTGTTGGGTTGTATAACTGATTAATTATTCTCAAGGGAAGTTACGACTTCTTTCTTGGGACTTTCAGTCTTTTGCGAACTCTAAAAAAGTTCAATTGAAATAATTGGGATCTGAAATGATTCTAGGATTATGAAAGATAATTTTTGTTAAAGGGTAAAAACATTCTTCAATCGTGATAATTAATTAATAGAGGAGTAATGATTATTAATGAATAAATGTGTTTTGTCTTCTTGGTTCAGTAAATTTATTTTAATTTCGAATTGATTTCTAGCCCTAAAGCTACAGAAGACATTTATTTATTCTTATTGATTGTTGAAAGGTCACCCCAATTATTTTATATATACAAATATTAATAATAAATGCGGTTCGATAGATGGTCTATCCGGGTCTTAAATCTTAATATTAATTATAGCTACAGCAAACGTAAAAAATGTAGATTTGAGAAAAATGCGCTTGAAGAAAAAATGATTGATTCTATTGTTATAGATATTAATGTTAATGTTAGACGACAGTTCAAATAACTATTTGAGATACCCCTTGAAATTTCAGTATCATATTTCTAAAAATATTTAAAAAACGTATATTTTCATAGTTTTACACTAGGTGTGCTCCTTAATTATTCCTCTCGGTTAAAATATTTAGTTTCTTCGTGTGTCAAATAGTGAAAAAGAGCCAATCATAACATAATTAAACTCATAACTGTGGGTCATTCAATTTTTCTTGATAGATTTTACAACTTCATGAGCTCACCTCCTCTCGTTTATCTTATATAACGAAATAATTTATCGGTTTGTGATGTTTTGCAGGTGCCACCGAGTGAAAAAGTCATAGACGAGATTTACAACTGCAGTCTAGGTGCACCATGGGCTAATCCTCAGTACACCAGTAAAATGTACAAGAACGAGAAGAAACTTTTGTATCCAGTTAATGTTGGACGTAATGTAGCTAGAGAATCAGCAGTTACTCATTATTTATTAGCCAGTGATATCGAACTTTATCCGAGTCCTGAGCTGCCATCGAAATTTTTGGAGATGATTAGGCGACGTGATCAGCCTACTTTGTTCAAGCCTAATCCTAAGGTCTTCGTTCTATCAATTTTTGAAGTTGATGAGAAGAGTTTACCTCCAATCAATAAAACAGCCTTGGTAATTATTATTTTTCATCTTTCAAATCTGTATGAATGATAAGAGATCATTCCGAACAATTTCCATTAAATATTTGGTAATTGTTTTCAACATTTATTTGCAGAAATTGTTAAGGCTCGGGTGGATTATCTAGAAAAGATAATTTAATCGTTGTCATGTCGACAACTAGGCCGCTAGCTAACAATTATCGGAAAAAAACGATTAATTGACGGAGTAATTAGAAGTCCCAATTTTGGAGTAAATTATCTTTTCCAGACAGTCCATCCGGGCCTTAAAAGAACTTTTGTGTAAATCATCAGTTCCAAAAAATCTATTTCTATCATTTCAGCTCACATCATTCAGTATTGAAATGATTGAAAGATGTTGCAGTGATGATTTATTATGAGGTCTATCTGCCAGGAAAAGGCACTTTTTTACCTTTTGTTGTATAAATTATTGTGATGTCGGTAATATTTAGCGAGATATCTCAGTCGTACTCATTCGTATTTAACTTCAATTTTGTGCAACATAGGTGGTATAAAAACTTTCTGAGGGAATACCATATCTCCGCTTTTCAGATGATTTTGAGTCTGAATTTCCTTTCTGTAAAGGAACTTCCCCGCCATTTTCTATTTAAACCAGGCACTTCTCGAGTATTCAATTCCATTATTCACACGAACTTCCAGACAAGTTGGGAAATGTAACAAAGTGATTTTTCAAATTATAAATATATTATCTAAGTAATGAAGTTTACAAAGAAATGTCAAAAGTTTTTGCTGTGGAAAATTAGTAAAAGAAAAATTTAATCTGAAATGACAAAACCCCGAAGACTCTGTTTTCAAGTCAAATGGTTTTGAAAATTACGGCAGAATTTGCAAATAATCTATTTTGACTATTTGCCTAAAGTTGCAACTAATCAAATAAAAAATCCTCCTCCAATTTTTTTTTGTTGTAGCAAAATCTCATTGCTGCAGATTATTTGAAGAAAGGAATACATTTGACAGTAGATAACAACATAGAAATAAAATAGACTATCAAATATTGCCGATAGTAAATTGCGTATTTTTAATTATTTTTCTGTAACCTTGGAAAATCCCTTGGATTCAATATCTCCATCTGCCACCCTTCCACACTTTCTGCTCTTTTTGATAATTATTATTATTCTTTATAACTAGTACAATGGCTTCCAACCGACAATTTCAATCTCAAATAAAAAAACATTTTCCACTAACAAAATAAAATCCAAACAAAAAATCCAAAAAGTTAATTCCCCATTTTCTGTGATGATTGAAAAAACTACAAACTTTTTCTTGAAAAATAAAAAATACGAGTTGCTAGATTGTTAATTGTAATTAGATAGCGCTTAAAATGATGATTTAATTTTTTCAGTCAAAAATGTTAAAATCAGGAACAGCAATACCATTCCACAAGAAGTTGTGCTCGAGTTGCCACAATGTACCAAAAAGCAAAGAGTGGCAGGAGGCACCAGAAACTGAAGGTCTGCACGTATTCCACGTGGGGAAGAGGACAGGTCCCTTCGTTCACTGGGAGCCAATATTCATAGGAACAAATTCTGATCCTTGGTATGACGAGAGACTGAGTTGGGAGGGTAAGAGTGACAAAATGACACAGGGCTACGAGCTTTGTGTTCTTGATTATGATTTTTTAATTCTTGATAATGCATTTCTCGTTCATCGACCTGGAATTAAAATATTCAAAAAAGATCAAAGGAGAGAGATCCTAACAGCTAAAACGAACGTTCTTATAAGTAAAATCATTGTACCGGAGCTTAAGGTCATGTATGGAGTGAGAAAAGGTTGTGCTGTGTGAGAAATTATTTTTTTTCTGTCATATTTTTTCATATTGACTGATTAAATGATGGGAAAACGTGATAAATCCCTGGAATATTCAACCTCACTATCTGTCACTCCTGTTTGTTATAATTAATTATTAATTAGTATTAAGGTGGTTTTTCAATACTCGATTGGACGAATTAAATTGTCAATATATTTTTTGTTCGTTAAGTCATTAGATCATTAAGAAAGTGATTTTAAAGAAAAGATTCGATTTTCCTTATTTCTTCATGACTTTTCCACTAGCGAATTTTTTTTTCTTCTAGTTTTATTGCTCTTTTGCTGCATTTGTTTAAAATACAAAAAAGTATTCTGATGCAGGAGATAAATATCGTGATGAGATTATGATGCAGGAACTAAATCATTCTGAATTTTGTGATTCATCAAAGAATATAAATTCATAAAGTTAAGTTATCTTTGCAGTAATAAGGTGTAAATATCGTTTTCATGGAGTCCTTGTCTCTCCAAAAAGCATTTCATAATATTTTTCAATGATATCACTAGATTCAGAGTTGAATGGAATCATTCGTCGTCACCATTTCGATTCAATCCACTCTACCATGTAATAATGATGTATTTGTTATTTTGATAAAGAAAATATGGGCCAAAATAGTACGTTAAAGGAGTGACCAGTGTTCACGAGAAAGTCACGATGGTCCAATCGAGTACCGAAAATTCTCAAGTGAATTGATGAAGAATAAGAAATGTCCAAGGATTTGATTCAGAATTTATTTCAATATACCTGTAAATTGATGGTTTAAAGTATTATGCGGTGATTGTTCGTATAGTAATTTTCGTTGCTACAACGTTCACTCTCTGTCTGACCATAATTGACCAATTGATGAGTGCTATCTGCTTATAAACATGATGTGTTCAATTGTTCGTTTGTTTGAATTTACAATTGACTTGAGATTTGAGAGGAAATTAAAAAGATATTAGTTTGGTAAAAAATTTGGTTAATTGTATTTCATTGTTTCTCATGTAATGGAATGGAATTGAAATAATTCCTATCGGGATATATCGTTCTATCAATTTCTCTAATAATCATGTTTTAAATTATATTCGTGGAACAGTGATGAGCAACAGTTGATTTAGAAAATGCTAAATAAACAAGTATTCAGGTATTAACAGTTTTTTTTTCGTCAGTCAGGACTGTTTATGAAAATATTGAATATCCATTACTTCTCAAAATATTAAATGTAGAAGTATTTGGTACTCGTACATTTATTATATACCGAATGTCATCAAATTGTTCGTAGAACTGGCCGTAAAAAATGTAATTTGCTGCGTAATTTACGATATTTCCCAAAACCTAGAAAATCGAACGACAAAAAATGTAAAAAGTTATTGAATAGAATGTAAATGCAATCAGTTGCAACAGGGTATTGGAAAATTCAATTTTCATGATTTTTTAAAGTGATTTTATCAAATTTCCTTGGAGATATTTGAACAATTGACACTGAAAGTTTAAATCAGATGATGCAGAGTAATATGATACGTAAATATTTATTATCGCCCAAAAATGTGTTCTTCAAGTGCGTCCTTGCATTTTCGGTCTCAAGCATTTTTTTAGCTAGTGGAATAATAATATATTACTGCACTAACTGGTAAATGTATTGTTTAGCGAATGTGAGGTTTACTGACGGAGTCAAGGACGAAGTTTGTTATCACATCCATTAAAATGACATTCATCAACTTGTGCGTTCCTATATTTTATTATACGTGAGTTATCCGCGAATTTTCACAGGTAGTGTAATAGTAATCAAAATAGTCATGATACTCGTGAAAAATTCACAATTTCCCGATAAAAATTGATTGGCTTTCAGTCATTAAAAATCCAATACGAACCATAAAACTTACCACTATAAAAATTATATATTTCGTATTAATTTTTGTCTATGGGCGGTCGAAGAAAAAATAATTCTTTTTTTTTAAATCGAGTTAAGGATTAAGGGTGACTGGAAGGAAATTAATTGCAACAACTAAGGGAACTGTTTGTGTACTTAATATTTTCCAATGTTTTGAGTACTAAATCCACATGTGATTAGTATTTTGTTCTTTCCTGAATAGAAAATATTTAGATATTCAGGATTTGGACATCTCCTAAATACGAACTACTTTGGTATTCAGTATCCAAATCGGTATTTAAAATGAATAAGTATTTATATGTACCCATGGCTATTACGAAATGATCTTCCATCAGATTTTGGACCATCAAATGCTCTCATCTCCTGTTCTCTATCATTTCACTATTGAATTACCTATTATTTTCTATGTAATCTTTGACTTGTAAATAATGTACACACGTGTGCGTCTTGCGCCTTCAATATTTAAAGAAATTAAGAGAGTAAAAATGAAGAAGTGGAAGAAAAAAACTACGAGAGAGTGAAAGAATTGACTTTTCCTCCCGCAGATGATAACTGTGCCTTATCGCCTCTGTCCTCAGTATGAATCAATGTAAAAAGAAAGAAAAATAAGGACCGGCTAAAATGCTAAAGTGACTTGCGATGTCTGAATGTATGTGTAATCTATTGCCAAGTTATATTTTTCAGTATTTGAATTAATGAAGATTATTGATGGATGGGACAATCGAAAAAATCGAAGTATTTGTTGGAATCCTCTGATTTTAAGGTTTATATGAATTACTCAAGTCTGTGCAGAATTGTCTCATTATTAGAATTCTATTCCAAACCCTACTTTCTGTTAATACCTAGTTTTTAAATCGTCAAAATAAATTTTTGACGAAAATTAAATTCTGTAAAAAAAATTATCGAGATATTGTTTTTTTCAAATTGACGTACAGTTATAAAAAATTTAATTTTCCCACTGAATTAATCCCAAAATTGGAATCCAATTCAATTGCACATCAGTAATGACAAAAAGTATTCAAAGAACCATTGTAAATAATTACTCTTAAAAAAAGAATGTTTGAAGAACTGAAAGAGGAATGGAACGAAATATGAGGAGAAAATAAAATGCACATCTTTTGAAATAAATAAGAAAAATAATTATTGACAATTTATATTTTTATTATTCATTATTTTTCACCGCAACTCTGAAGCCTCCTTCCAACTCCATTAAAATATACAGATTTCAATGTTTCTACTTCTGCTTCAACATTTCAATTAAATCACAAGGTTTCTTCTTTTTGTTCGAGTTCACTTCCGCTATTTTATCAATTATTTATTATTGTGGGCCTACCACACTAATGTAAATTCTTCGAGAATAAAAAAAAATCCGATTGAACAAATTTTTCAAGCGAATCATCAACTCGATAATCAAAAAATACTTGATCTAATTTCTTCTCTAGTACAAATAATATAGATTTTAATCTATATATCACTCTATGATAATTGAATCTGAAATTGTATATGTGATTTGTTCATGTCCATTTAATCAATCAAGTAATGTGACAGATTCAGTATTGAAATGAATAAATGTAATCGCAGAAGCAAGTGTTTTTCAAGATAAACAACATGTATTTTCTCTCCAAATCAAATTCTAGAAAAATCCATTAAGAATATCTCCCAAAATGTCTTATCACCAAATTTAACAATTATTATTAGTTATTGTAGACATGGAGTTGCCACTTGTTGATTGCATTTGATCGCTTCAACACGGAATCCACACGTTCATATCTCTTTTCATTACATATTCGACATTCCCAAATTATCCAATCGCTCTGTTATCAATTCACTCATCTGTACACGTAAAACACTATCGAGGTATCATTTATATCTTTATACTCTTTATAATTTTCAAATTCACATTTTTTGCTTATTAGCCACTCAGCTTGGTAACTTAATAGGCACGTGTTGTTATAAATCTTTTTTTTTTACATTTTAGGTAATTTTGATATCTTTTCAATCTTCTCTATATCTCAAATAATTTAAGTGAGGATCCCTGTAATTAGAAAGTTCATCAGAAATAGTATAAAACAAGATTGATATCAGTCTAAACATCAAAGAGAGGCGGCGATTCTGTGACGAATTTATTAATCATTTAGTTTAGTTTAGTTTAGTGGTAATGAAGAAGAGAACTCGGACAATTGATCATTAGTCCTGACGTGAGAAATTTATATTTAAATGATAAAATAACAAATCCATTCCTCACATTTTGTTAGTTGTTGCGAAATCTAGGTAATCAACGAGCTCAATGGAAAATTCAATGAACCTTTTTAAATGGAAAGTGGTATTTTTCTTTTAAAATGACCCACGATAGCCTCTCCTCACTCATTATTACCAAAATAATTTCATGATTAACGGAATGTAAAAATGGATCTGTTTTATTCTGTTCTGGGCCGTTTTACCACTTTACTATGAACAAAACTTGAAAGGAAGACGGTAATGACGACTTAGTGAATTTAACCATTTGTTTTTTTCACTTGCCATTGATTAATGAGAAGATCATGATGAGACTGATTTGTTAATTCATAGGAAGTTTGGTTCTCTATTTTTACAAATTGCGAATTTGATTGTTTATTCTGTTCTTTAGGGGTATAATACGATTATTTCGATCCCAATCGAAATCTCAGGATGAAATTTGTGTCACTGACGAGAACATAAAATCAAAATTTGAATTTCATGATGAAATTATTATTTTGATCATTTCTAGATTTATTTGTATATATCTTCAGAAGCAGTTCGTTAATAGGAAAATATCAAAAGACCGCTTTTGGGAAAGCCTTTTGTAATCTAAAATAAAATAAAGGTCTCTGAACACTTTTCTTCCTAGCATCATTCATTATCGAGATAATTACGAAATTGAAATTTTTTTATTATCCCAAGGCTGACTGCTGCTATGAAAGAATTTAATGATATTTTCCTATAAACTCTACTGATTCTGGAGTTGTTATTAAAAAAGAATCTGGCGCCATTGAGACAAATTTCAATTTTTACTCATCAAAATAGTCGTTAATCCCCAAGAAAAAAACAAAATAATATGAAAAACCTTGATTTTTGACTATTTATGATCACAACAATTAACTAATTCACGCAACATAAAAAATATGGAAATTGGACTGTATTCCATACCCGGGAAGAACATCAAGGGTTCAAAAGTACAATAATTCTTAACTCAGAATTTTCCCTCAAAAAATTCCAGTGAATAAAAAAGACGCCGCCAAATTCGATAGAATTCGAAAAACGAAGAATTACTTAAACAAGAAAAGAACCAAACTGAAGGGACGAAATTATCTACAATTAAAAAAAAAATTCAGAAGTGAAGTCCTCACAAATCCAATATTACTATCTTTACCGGTGGATATTTCATTATCCGTAAGAGCCAGATTTCCATCAGAACCTGGTTTGCAGCTTCTCATCCTCCCCCCAAAAATAGATTACCCAAAATTTCAAATAATTTCCTTTCGATTTCACTCGAAATTCAATTTCTTCTATTCCCAAAAATCAATCGTATTTCAATTTTTGCAGTCACCTACAAATAAGGCTCTTCGAAGAATTCCTCCACTGGCAAAAAAAATTACTTCTACCAAATAAATTTACTATAAAGAAGAAAATCCTCAATTTTCCACTGTAAATATTTATATCCATTGACTTCTGTCAAATTGATTGAGTTATAACAAGCCAATTTAATTAATAGAAATAATTTTTATCTCAGTGACTCACACCTAGACTCTAAAATACCCTCGAAAAACGTCTCCTACCTCTTAACGAGACCCATTCCAACTCCCACTCCATCTTTACCTTCACTACTAAAAATAATGCAATAATTCAGAATTTGAATAAAAAATTATTTCCCTAGGCGTTTTAGCCTGGACCTCGTGTTTAGCGATCTAGCACTGGGATTATAAGGACTAACAGACTTAACTCTCTTAGCAATCCCACTGACGCTTCCGCCAACACCTCCACTGCTTCCACCACTTCCGAGGCTTGTTCCCTGCTTGATTTTTCCCTTTCCTCCACTCGTTATCTTGCTCCCGACACTCCTATTCTGCTTGACAATGCCATACTGATGGGCAACCTGCGGAGGCACCGTATGTCCAGTGATATCAACATTTCTCGATCTCAATGTTTTGATTGGTGTCGCAGCTATTGTGTCAGATCTCAGCCACATCTGTGGTGTGTTAGAAGATTCTCCATTGCCTCTACTGAGAGGAGTACTTCTCCTCTCCCCGTAGGTTGATCTCCTCGAGTTCTTCGACTGATCCCAGGGACCGAGAGAATCTCTCAGAGCAAAACTCCCTCGCAATTGGACACGATTGACTCCATTGATCGATGGTCTTCTGATCGTCTTCACCGGCGTTGCTTTTTTCTCTAGACTTCGTCGTTGATATCCAGGCGA